AAATACGTTTTTTACTTTTGTAAATTTTTAGTAACGCACTAAATGTAACAGTAAACCCTGTCTTCAACAGTGTGTAAAAACTAAATTGAATTGCTTCATACACTCAATGTGAACCATACATAATGACAATGTTATTGTATTCAACAGTTGTAATGCTATAGTTGTTGTAAATAGTTTGTGTCTATAGAATGCCATAGACTGGAAGTGTCCCAATAACTGAACCATGATAGTACATGTAAAAATTCCTACACAGTACTGCTTGTGATGACAGATTGCAGTACCTCTGTGAAACCTGTATTTTAAGCTGAACAAAAAGCATATGTGTCCTGTTATGTCACTTTTATATTATCTCTAATAATTACCCAAACAGATCAAATGATTAATGGTGTTGAGTAAGCTAAAACAATGCACTGCACTCTGCCAGTGGGTTTAGGCATAGAGGGTCTATGGTTTAGGTGAATCCTGATATGCGTTTGGACGCTTCCATTGTTATAGCAGCAGGGTCAGGGACATTCAAGAGGGGAGCACTATTTGCACTCCAAGCTCTGTTGTTGTGCATGTGTAATTTAAAGAGCTGCAAAACAGGAAAGTTTTCTATAAGCAACAAAGAACCCATTATATATGTTGTACTCGTCAATGGAGGTAGCTGAAGGGGAGTCGGGGAGTCGGTTAATGCCCCCTTCTATTTCTGTGATTGACCCCTGCAAAAAGTAAAAAGTGACAGTGTGAATGAATAGATGCACACGTGGGGTGAATCGCAAATGCTTGCTGAATCATTACTGTAGTCTGAGTGAGCGCACTGCCTGTCATTCCTCAGTCATTATCAGGAGGGTTACGTGCAGACATAGGAAAATATAACTAAAAAACACTTTGTGTGCAAGATCAGCTGTTTATTAACGAGACTGCATGCATTATCCACTGTAAAGGTAGGTGTAAATGTACTCCTCTACCTAGACATCATACATGTGTAATGTTAATCATGCTTTATCTCTTGTTGTCATGCAAGTATATCCCTCGGGAGTGAAAAAAAGGCGTAACCATAGTATGTTTCTATATTCTTGATAACAATACTACAAAGTATACAGCTCTGATTGTGTGAAGCGCAATACATGCAATTGCCATTGGATATTCTGTGTCAAATTAAACAGAATTCCAATCTTGTTTAGTTCATTCATTCATTGGCTCTTGATATCCCTTACATTCCTTTCTTATTGGGACTACTAGACAGCAATATATTTATAGATATGTGATATTAATTTCTTTATGACTTGCACAGATATTTAATCTATGATACAGACAGGTTCTTTTGATTATATTTATAAATTATTATGTCAGATAACAATTTCCTTTTTCTTAATCACAGTTTCAAGAGCATTGCTGCGGCAAATTTATTGATACATTTTTTTGTTAACTTAATTGCCAGTCATTCTGTTTATTCTTATTAAATGGCCTTCACTGATACACATTTATCATGTCAGTGATTGACCTTCAGAAAGTTAGGAAGTCTACACAGGAGTACTTTTGAGGGGGGGTGCTGACAGAAAATTCTTAAAAACAAATCTACAATGAAAAATTACATTATATGTTTATGAGAAAAAAAATCAGTGAAGTGAAGGAAAAAAATAATTTGCTGAATTTTGATGTTACTTTCTTCCAAGACTTTCTGTTGGTCAAGCCCTAGGTGGCATGTTGAGATTCAAATAACAAAAAAAAAACGTGCAACAATTAAATTGAAGATGAACTCTGACTAACATATAAATGTAAGAGTGTCTAGACAACTGTTCCAATTTATGAGAGTACATGTTAGTGTGAAACAGTGTAAATAAATGACTGAATAAGTTTCTATTATAGGGTACTGCCCAAAATGGTTTCTCATTTATTTCATTTCATCTTTTGGAAAAATTTGATTTCTAATCTGGCATATGTCCATGATATTAAGTGTCTGATAGGCACATTCAATATCACTTTGTGTTTGAAATCTGGGGATCTAAAAAAATGTCAGCTTTCATCACCCAGGGTGAGTGACCATTGAGAACACTGTTTGCCCTTCACTTAGATTTGAGTTAATTTTTTTTTTTCATAGTGAGGATGATGTTGCTTTAAATTTCTTTGTTTCTTTCTGCTATCAACTGTGCTATATGTATTTTTCTGTAAAGTTTGTACAGAATCATTTTTTGTTACAAAATTTTTCCCTGTGCAGACCCCACCCCCCTGAGTTACTAATGGTCAAAATGGCTATTAAAAAAATAGACATGTATACTTTTGTGAGTATTTTACCCAAAATGTTGATAAAGCCCTATAGAAAATGAAAAACTATGTCTATGTGGTTTAAAATTAACAGAAAAAGATTTCAGAGAAATAAATGAAAATATTTCGGTGGGAACAAATACTGTGTTCAAAAAAAGTTGAAAACACATGTGTGGTATAAACACTACTACTTTGGAATGTTACTTTGTTGTGTATATGAACTTGGTCTACATGTGTTTGGTGATTGAGAGGTGAATGATTTGTCTCTGTCAAGTCCATGTTATATGGTGTTTGGTATTACCGAGTCCACTCAGGATAAGAATGTACATGTATCGTGAATAGTTGGAATAGCAGGGGCAGACCAATTAAAATAGAAGTATCATTGCATACTCCATGTTAGTCCTGAAATCTGATGTTGCTTATTAGATATCCGGGGTCACCACGCTCTGGGGCTCATTTCTCAAGATAGGGTAGGCCTGCTATTAAAACATTGCCTGCTGAAAGTTTCTATGGGATAGCCAAAATTAATGGGAAAAAACGGCGTTGACAGGCGATATGTTAAGAGGTTTGGGAGAACAGTGACTGTGTGTAAAACATACTGGTGGGATGATAGTGAAATAATTTTTTTTTTTTTTTTTTTTCCCCACATGATTTACTCTCTGAATTTCCTTCTTATTTAACATTCAAAAATTGTAAAAGAATTACCTGTTATTACAAGTTTTATAAAACAGTTTATTATGCAATTAAAAACACGTCTAGTGTATCCATAACCTTATTTGTTCAGTTCTAGTAGAGACTTGTGACTTGGGGGTCTCGATTGCACCACTATACACATACTTGTCAACAGACCCACAGTTACTCTAAACAGTAGCAGTTATAACATACAAACACTGAGATAAACAACAATTTCCAAAAGTCTTGTTTGGTACATCTAGTGACAGTTGTAGTTAGGGTGCCTTATTATGTGTTTTAGCAAAGCTACAAGTACAAGTATAATGCTCCCTATTTAATATTCACATAAAATGCAGTTACAAAGTTACATTAAAGCAATTGTACAACATGTGAAGCTATCAATAAAATTATATCAATGTGTGATTCAACGAGTTTCACTGTATTGTTATAAGCATACCTGACCAGGAATATGTACTATATAATATGTATGTCAACTTATGGTTGTAAAACTGTGCTCCTCTATGTTCTTGACAAATTACTGACTACATACAGATTATGTCCTTTTAAATGTAACTGGATTGAACATTAAAATCACATAATTTTTAGTAAACCAATAAATAGAAATTTTCGAAAGAAATTATTCCAATGTTTATTTCTATCCAGCATGCTTCTGTCAATATTTAAATGACCTCTCTTGACCTGACCTGAGTTGACCTAGAATAATGGAATGTGACCCAAAGTCAGTAACAGGCAAATAATACATACTAATTAGGCAATTAACTGCTAACTTTTGAATAGCTAAAATCAGTTCATGAATTATAAGTTAATCACCATAATTATCATGTGTACCCCTGCAGGATTAAACTAATCTATAGCCCAGTGTAGCTTTAGTAAATGTTAAAAAGACTATGTAACAATAAGTTTAGTCTGGTAAGCAAGCATTATAATTGTGTGAGTTAATAAAATCATTAACTTTCAGGACAAGAAGTGCTTGAACAAAATTCATCTAAAACCTTAACTGTATTAACTTGATACGGCTTTAATTAAATTAAAACAAAATCGATTAGACTACTTTTTTAAATTGAAGAGAACTTTTTAATCAATTGTTTTATTTTTGTTAATTACCCTATGTAATATATAACATTCTGAAAGCATGGACAACATAGAAGGGAATGTTTCTAATTACTAATATTGTTTGCTCCAGAGATAGTTGCGTGAACAAAAAAAAAACTACCGTAAAATCTGTATTAAAAGCTGCATCCCTAATAGAAGCCACACCCATTCTTTTTGAACAATTGAGAACCAAAAATGCACTATTTCTCATACGTGTAGATGCTCTAATAGAAGCCACAGCTTCTAATACAGATTTTACAGTACTCTTTTGTTCCAGCAGAATGTGTACTCACTCTAGATCATTTGAATTATTTTTCAGACTAACTGTTACATAATATTACAATATATATGTGTACCGTATTTGTTTTTGTTTTAGAAATGAATTTCACTAAAAGTTCACCTAAACCAAAAATTGTATTTATTGAATTAGTAGTTGATTGACATATGACATGATTATTTTGACTACAAACATACCTATGTCATTTGTGTAAGCTATGATAATTCATTTTTACTTGTTATTTATTTTATCAGTGAAAATTGATGACATCTGTGATTTGTAAAATGTAGGTACTATGCCAAAACACCATGGCCTCATTTGAGGGGAATGAAGTTATTATTGCAAGTTATGCAATATATCCTGTAGCCATACATCTCAAGTGATTTGATTGAAAATACAGCATGGATACATGCATCACAAATGAAAAAATAACTTTTCATACACCTTATTGTATGGAGGCGGTATCGTTCGTATGAATGCACACATGGGCATACTTGGTTAATTAAACTAGCATTTCATTCCATATGGAAATTTAGGAAGACTAGTGCTTGTTTCAGTGTTGGCTACAGTGTTAGTGGTAAAACTGGTAGATGCAGAAAACATGCGACACGACACCGAATCACAGATTCTGTTATCTTTAGTAACTGCTTATAAACCATGTTACAACTGTCATTTTGTGTTTGTATTTCAGCTGTAAGTGCAGTATTCTTTGAAGCTGACACTCAGAACTCTGGTTGTATCGACGTCAAGCTTGTACCAGCATTAGTACGCAAATTATTGGGAAGACAACCACATGGGTTGGACCCTCACATTGTCAGAATTAAAGCAGAAGCTAGTTCAACAAAAGGTAATGTCCAATTTAGGGGAGGGAGGGTTTCTTCTGCAGTATGGCCTGGTGGTAGGTAGAGTTGATATGTACATGTATTGGGAGGGGGGTATTTCTAGTCCAGTGAGGGATTACCATGGTCGGACAAAATAGTTGAAGTAAGTATGTTTTGTTGAAATATATTCACTCACCATATCAGGTAAGGAAACAGTGAACGTAATATATTAATGAAACAGAAAAGAGCCCACACATTGAATCTGATAGAGTGGGTAGAAGATTGGCTGCTTTACAATGTAAAACAGTATGATGTTCTTTAAAATTTGCTTTTTTTAAAAATACATGTATCAGAATATTTAAAAAAAACACTGTGTAAATCAAAACTTCTTGATATATGTGTATGTGACAAAATTCAAACTGCCATCCCCTGTTTCAATTGGTCAACCCTTTATCAGTTCCAAAAGACAATTTAGCTCACCATTTATGACATGGATTCTATTAGCATAACATGACAACAAGAAATTGCTCACCAACATTATGCTCACCATTTATCCGATAAATTAAATAAGTTATAATCAAAGTCATTCAGAAAGTTTTATTAATTTGAAATGAACACATTTTGGTGATTCAAAAAAAATAACGAAATTGTCTGATAGGAATCATCGTCCTCCTTGGCATTTAGTTCTGTAAAATGCTATCGAACATTCAACTAGTCCTGTTGAGTGTTTGATATTGGCATAAGACAAGACCCCCCCCCCCCCTCCTCTGAAACCCTGTGAATAGTCATGGTAACCTTTCACCACATTACAGTGTTTTTATTTGGGATTACCATCATGTGGAAGCAGTGAATGCATTAAATTCTCTTTTAGAGAAATCTGTGTTGATAAAAGTTATCTGAGGTCAGTATGTTGTTTGTATATAAATGTACCTACTAATCAATAACTGTCAGGGAATAGTGTTTTGATAGTTGATGAGATGTAGTACTTGACTACATCACATGTGGTATTTCATACACCACTGATAAAGTACACCATGCTTAAAGTGTGTAATTTACAATAGCATGACAATAGCACAGTCGTGTTCAGCAAGCAGGAAACCTAGCTGTCTAAGTCGCATTCTCAATAGACTTGAAAATATTTTTAATAACAACTTATTTGTTGTTCAGTTTAAACAGGTATCACTGAATCAATTCATTTGGTG